GGGGGGCGGGGATGGGGGAGGAAGAGCATGAGGAAGAGGAGGTCCGGCAGGAGGTCGGGAGGAAGTCCAATGGCCTAAGGGAGAAGTCGGACGGAGGGAGGGCGGAGGGAAGGAGCAGCGAGGGCAGAGTTTGGTTGGAACGGAAAGTTATGGAATTGGTCAAGCGAAGGGGAAAAAAGAGAGAGAGAGTGAGAGAGAGAGAGAGAGAGAGAGAGAGAGAGAGAGAGAGAGAGAGAGAGAGAGAGAGAGAGAGAGAGTCTGCAACGCTGTCCGTTATGTGATTCTGACGCGTGCTTCTGGGAGTTTTGGCTTTAGTCTTCCAGAGGAAATGCTCCAAAATGCACTCCGGCGAACAGCAACTGCCTCCGGCGAACAGCAACGGCCTCGGGCTTCTGTGATTCTGACGCGTATTACGGGTCACATGACAAGGCTACTTGAGACAACTCCCTCCGGCGAACAGCAACTGCCAGGCAGACGCGGTGCTGATGACTTTATTCATTCATTCATTAGGCGGCCTGCTTAACATCATTGGCACTCTCAAAACTCAACAAGCAAGCACATGGGATACATACAGAAAAAAAAAAAAAAAAAAGGGATACATACAGAATCGGTTGATCACAAACGTTTTCAGAAAAGACAGCGAGCAAACTTAGCATCGGAATCTTTAGCTAGCACACAGATGAAGATTCCGATTCTGAATGTGACAGCATTTTCTGAGCCAAGTTCAGATAACTCAGAATGAAACTCCGCGAGTCATTTCACACAGCACAAAACAACAGGTGATGCTGAGAAGGTAATGGCTCTTCCCAAACAAGTACCCGCGGTAAGGAAAAAAAAAAGAAAAAAGGTTTCGATGGTACTTCCCCTGCTGTTTTCTTGCAAGCGGATTTTCTTCTTTTGTGGGCGATGCCACGGCAGGTCATCTAACAAGTGATGATACAGGCTATATACACTCTTTGGACTCACACAATCAGCGAAAAGATGGGAAGGAACGAAAGAAAAAACGTTAAGTAGAGCTTCATGCTCTCACACCAGACGTGGTTCACAACAATCACGACCACTGGTCCTACCACCGCCACGTGTCATCACCGCCACGTGTCATCACCAGCATCTCGCACGGAAAGAAGATGATGAGCGTGCTCAGCCCATTTTGCTTTTCGATCTGCAATAGAAGCTCAGCCCATATCTTTGGATCTGCTCCTCAACCTCAGCCTATTGCTATTTTTCCCTGTATGGCTCCGACTCCCTCCTTCTTCCAGCTTTCATCAGTCCGTTGCTGACAGCCTTCCTCCTGTCTTATCATTATCCAGTCTGATAAAACTACCGAGGTTTTGATGCCCTTCCACCCCTCCCCTTCTCTCTCTCTCTCTCATTCATTACTCCCTGTTAATGATGTTCCATGGTTGACAGTTGACATGGGGCTCTGTTTGGAGACAAAGAAAGACAACCATCTCTCTTGTGACTCCCTTTTTGGACGTGTTTGGCTCACATTTCAGTCCAGATGCAGCGGAAATGACCGTCTTGTCGAGTACCAGACTGGTTACGTCTGCTCACAATACGGTAAGTCTGCAGGTTGTGTGTACTTCCCCATATGCCTCCCTTGTCTCCTGCAACGGGCTGATCTGTTTTGACCCTGTACGCTCACTCGTTATGATGCAGGCATGCGGAGCGTCGTTGGGGAGAGCTGTCGATTGCATAACCAGCACAAGTGTGACATCGAAACGAAGGAAGGGGGGGTATAGCCAATTGGAAGAGAGAGAGAGAAATCAAGATGAAGGAACGCGCCACGTGTCAACGACGTAAAACATCCAAATCACCTTGCAGGGGGGAAC